TTAACGCCCGTTGTGATACTTTTATTGTTCTGTGACAGATTTCTGTCGACCGATATTTTATTCTGAGAGAAAGGCGCGGAGGTAAAATGTCGTAATGGAAGATACTAAAATAAAATAAATCATGTGTGCAAGTTTTTGTTTTTATGCCAAAAATAGTTTTATAGAAATAAGACCAATGTTATGGCAAGGATTGCATGCTTTATGCTACTGAATTATACTAAAAACTGTCAAAATGTGATGTATTTCCTGTGCATTCAGGCATTTTACGCATAAACTGCAACGTCAATTGTATGTTATGAAGCTGAGTCAAAAAGAACCTGTTATTGAAGATAGTTTTTTTTGCATTTGTTGCTAGATTAGGTTTTCTATCTGACAACCAGAGAAAAATGCCTGACTGCACCACATGCCTTTTGTTAATAGTTAGTATGCAAGTTCTTCATAACATAGCCTTGCCATAACATTGGTCTATTGTGCGGGAAAACTGGTCCATTAATCTAATTAAAAAATAGTGTTGAGTTTTTAATGCAAATCTATTAATTCAATTTTTCCCTCCTTTAAGAAATTGCATATCTTCCATCAGCCTTTTAATGTATCGCAAATCCCGTCCGGCGCATTCATTTCTCCTCCGACTTAACTTCTAGTCGGTGTGTTGTTGTTGATGATCGATCATGTAATCTTTGAACTTTGATTACGAAAATCTGAGTCAGCATTTTATTTGTGTTGAAATTGCTATTCTTTCAGCTTCATTTGATCCGAACGTGATGAAGGTGCCGATGTTTTATTTGTATAAACGTTTTACTGAAAGAAAACCTTCGACGGCGTTCAATTTCTTGCGCTCGTATATCAAATGCATTATATTGTGCAAACTCACTTTACGTGATTTTGAAGTTTTGTAAACGCGTGAATATTGAATCAATTTCACCGTTAATAATGGAGTTTGAGTGGAAAAAATGTTTGATATTGCGAAACTTACCTGGATTGGAAACACAGCTACAGCTGGTTATATTAATATAGTATAGTCATAAGTTTCGAACAGAAAAATAAAAAAACATAGTGTTTTGATGATGATATGTTAAAATAGTAAACGCACAAATTCAATTTATTTCTCAACTAACCTAATATAAAGAGCGTTCGAGATTTCTAGGTTTTGAGGTTTCTAAATTCCGAGGTTTCTAGGTTCCGAAGATTCAAATACTTTCAAAATTGAATTACAAATTGCGAAATTTTCATTATTTTACAATATTGTTTAAATCCAATGTTGGTTTGATCTATAATTTAATGGAGGATCTGCTTTATGGAGGATAGAGATATAAATAATTGACGTCCAATTTGCAAAATAAATATTAACATTATTTAATAAAAACTACCCTTTTTCTTGAAACTACCCCTTTAATAAAAACTACCCCTTATTCTGAAACAACTAAATTTCATTCAACCAGCTCCATCTGGCATAGGGTGGCTTAACTTATTACCTTTTCTCTTCAATTCTCCCTGTAAACAAACCCCAACACAGCATCCCTCACAGATGCGCCATCTTTTGGATTTTTTCTATACTTTGTACAATAAATAAAGAAACGTATAAAACAAATAAAGGAATACATATTTTATTACTTCCATGATCAATTATTTCTAAAACTGGTTAGTATGCTAGTGGCGACACAGGTGTGTTACAGGTGATATTTTTTGGTTGTGATATTAGTAAGGAAAGTTCTGAGAGTTGCATGAAGATGGTACTAGATGTATCGTTATTTGGATATATATTAAAATATATTAATTACATTATATTATATTGATAATCAAATGGTTACTAGCATCAATATTCGATATCTTAATATAAAAATAACTTTACGCATAAACTGCAACGTCACTTGTATGTTATGAAGCTGAGTCAAAAAACCCTGTTATTCAAGATCGTTTTATTAACATTTGTGCCACATTTGGTAGTCCATCCTTATATATTAAAATAAATGTTACCTTCAGTATTTTTATAGTATATTAAATTTTTTCTATGTTTAAAAACTACACCATATATTTTTTATTTTACGAAAATTACACTTTACTTTGAAAATTATAAAAAAAATTTGTGGCTAAATGAATTTTAATTATGAGATCTACTAATTTGTAAAATTCAAATTAATATTTACAAATGATTTTTAACGACACTATTGATAGTCAAAAGTAATTTAAATCGCTTAGAATATGCATTAACTAAAAACTATGTAACTATGTAACTTATCATACCTGACAACTATTAAAAAAGAAATTGAATGATTTTATTGCACTCTATGCTTTTTTACTTTTTACCAAAGTGCACAATTTCCAAATTCTTAAAACCTTGTTCATCAAAATTCATACAAATTTAATCACTACAAAAATCATAGCCGCTAATTAATTTTTAATATTGAAAAATCCTTATCATATTGATAAGTTGTAGGTCTACCTAAATTATGTAGGTAATTATAAGAAAAAGAAATTTATTACTAAACCAATGCAATTAATAATATCAATATTTTTCGAATATTATATATATTTTACAGAACACCCTTAAAAAAACTTAAAAATCATTAGTATTTTCATTAATGCAGATTTTTATTTAATTTTGCACCGTCTTTCAATCAAATATCTTACCTATATTTTGCATATAATTGTTAGAAATTTTTTTTGAAAATATTAGTTTACATTAGAAAAAAAAGTTCCTGAAACAAAGGTACTAAAGAATAAGTAGGTACACAATATTAAAAAATAAAAGCCAATTATTATTTTTTATAAGCTGACATTTATTGTAATACTTATAGAAACAATTTTTACACAAGGGCAGTTCCAAAAAATGTTTTGTATAAACGTGAATACACAACAATTTTTGTTTTTCATGGAAAAAACTGAAGTAAAACTAAGATCTTTGATATGTCGTATAAGAATTGCTTAGCTATTTTTTTTATTAACACACGCATGTAACATACATACTAACTGGTATACCATACTTTATTAAAAATAGAACAGAATTTAATTGAAATTAAAATGTGTTTTTAAATGCTATTATTTATATAGATTATTGTTAGACTGAGTGCTTCCTTTTCTATATATAAAAATGATTTTAGCTCTTATTACATGATATAGAATTATTATTGTTTATAAATAGTGAAGATCTATTTAATTTACAATGTCGTGTAAGGAAACCAGTGTGTTTTTTACGTGATTCATCTTTTGCAAAAAGTGTCATATCAATAAGTTTAACAGAGATTATGATATGGAAAATTTTATGTTAATTTAATCAGTCGTGTTTATACAAGTACTTTGAATTATAAAATTAAAATGTACGTTGATTTTGCTTGCAATCGTTGTACAAAATAAGGCTCAACATTATTATCCATATCAAAAAATCAGTTTTTTATAGTTTAAACGTGACTAGTGAACTATAAAATATTTTATATACATTAACTTTATTTCATAATTATTTTTTAGGCTATATTATATTCAAAAATTTATCTTCGAAATTAGCGTATAAATCAGACAAGTATTTCTAGAAAGTATTGTATGCAAAGCATATTCTTCAAAATTAAATACACATCAAATAGAAACGCTCTTCTGATTCATATATTTGCATATTTCTCTCGTAATTTTATTGCCATAAACAAAATATTAGGTGAAATGCTTTAGAAACAATATATTATTCTTTATTGTCCTTACTAAAAATTTACCTAATATTTCATTTTTTGCTGATATTTTTTTTTAAATTGTGTGTTGAATATAATATAACGCCGATATCTTTAGGCCAGATATTTCTTTTTACTTTATATAACCAAAATTGTATTTTTTATAATTTGCGAAGGCCTAGCATGAACTTAGGTCTAACATGATAATCAAAAAGTAGGTACATAATAATTTATTGGGGGTTCATTTATTTATGATATAAAATATTTCTATTATATTAATAATTATATATACATTATTATCCTTAGGTATAAATTTTACAACTCATAATGCAAGTTCTCAGCTTCTTAATTTTGCAGCTTACAATAATTTTGCCTTTGTGATAATTGGTTAATAAATATTTTTGATTTAAAATTTTAAGATTTAAATAAACGAAAGTGCTCTTACGTATCACATTTTATAGTTAAAACTAATATCTAATAACAATGTAAATAATAATAAAAATGCGTTTACCCTAGTGTGTAATTTCTAATGTTTGATTATCGATTTTTTTATACTATATCATAATATTGATCGGTCATAGATAAAATTATAAATTTGATAGTATTTGTATTGCATAGATATTTGTTGCTTTATTGTAGAAGCATTATGTTTAAATAATATTGATAAATATACTGTATATTATATTTTATATTCATTTTCTATTGATTTCTTGCGGTTAAATCTCGGTCTCTAATCCTTAACATTCATTATATATTAATTATTGTTAAATATCTATAAATCTAGCTACATACGCTAACACAGTTCTTATAAGAGATATATAATACACCCTGTATAATATTTACAAAACGTACAATTACATTATCGATTATTACATTTTTTACTTACAAATAACTCACGAGTTCTAAATCGTCGTGTATAAAATATTAAATTTTCAAAATTAATTTCATGTTACTTATTGTTCCCATTCTTGTGTTATTATTTATAAATATTGGTTTTTCATATAGTTTTATTTTTAGTGCCGTATTTTATATAATTTAAAGTTAGGCAACGCTCGTAAAGCTATTAATAAAATGCAAAAATTATTAGAATTTCAAAATATGATAGATTTCTAGTCGTTCATTATTTCATTTTACAAGTTATTATCTAAAACATGATTTATACTCTATGTCGAATATTAATACTTCTTCAATTCACACGGAATTTTAAAATGAAATAAAAATATAAGCGTTGTTTATTGATTTTAAATTTACTTTCAATAATGTGCTTATACATTTAAAACTGTTATACTTTGCTTTATAAACAAAGCGACTGTAAATCATTTATTTTATCGATTGCAATTATCCGTTTCACGAAACTGGTGTACTGAATCCTAAGAGCATCCTCTGCAAAAACAAGTGAATTTCCCTAAAACTAGGCCTTTCACAATCGCTCCTTCGCCAACATTCCAACATCAAATCATAAATATCTTTACTCGCATTCATCGGTTTCGGAATGAACACGAATTGTCCATCATCTCTGTCCATGTGGGACAAATTCTCCACGACTTGTGGATCTGTAAATCCTTCATAAGGCTGTCGTCTTGCTAAGTTCAGGATTTCGGACAGTGTGACAGCAAATGACCAGACGTCACTTTTGGTTGTGTATCGGCCTAAAAAGACAGATTCCCAGGCGATCCATCTGATCGGTAAGGGCATTGATCCGTCCACTTTGTAGTAGTCGCCGGCATACAGTTCGTTGTCCGTGCCGAAGTCAGAGATTTTGATCTGGTAACCTTTCCGACGAGACAATTTCTGAAAAAAAGGAAAAGACTCAAATTAATAATAGAAAGGTGTAATACAAATATTTTAGTGTTGCCCTGATTGGAAACACTGCCAAAAATATTATAAAACTACGTAAATTCTTCATTATTATCCTTACCTTGTTGCCAAATCCCTGTGCACAAAATTGAGGCTCTCCAAATATCTCATCCCAGCAGCGATTTGTGCTGCCATATGCAGCAGATGGTGTGGTGTCAACACCTGACCAGATGCCAAATGAGCAGGAGGTCCTTCTAATGCTCCTGGACCAGTGGAAGCTAACAAGAATGCTCTAAGATCACCAAGTTCTAAATATTCTAAAACGACGGCCAAAGGCTCATCCCAGCAGGCTCCTAAAACACGAGCGATGTGAGGGTCTTCCAGGGCTCCTAAGATGCGGACATCCCGGTGGAAATCGGCTCTGGAAAGAAGAAATAGGAACTTGTAATATACAAACAATAGGCAACGTAGTTAATAATAAAATGCATCTTCACAAATGATCAATTTAGAAGATCAGAGCAAAAAATGAATGTTTATAACATTGATATTTTCAAGCTTTGAATATTTCTGATATGAGTCAGTTATTGATATGAGAGCCATAATAATTATTGTACTTTTTTAAATCAGACTTAACCAAGATTATCCAGTTAATAAAGCATGAACAAAACAATACTTTATCAAACGCACAATGATATTTCCATTCCGATTATTTATGTCCTATTATGTACGATGACAAGTTCAAGAAACTTGCTCTTATATATAAATCAATATATCTAAAGAGAAAAAAATCTCCACTCGGTCAGAAATAAACCTTGTATAAGACCATTAAACACATATCGTACTCGGTCATAAATTTTCACTGACAATTTTCCTCGTAAAAGTACATTGATTTTCCCATATTTCTGCGATGTCATGAGATGTCCGGTTCCGTATATTATATATATATATATATATATATATATATATATATATATATATATAATCAAAATTCAAAATTTTATTTGCTATACATTAACAATTTATTTGAATTAAAATAAAATCTTAGCCTTGAAATATGTGGTAAAAATGTTCTTACTTTAATTTAATCAATGTTTAATTTAATTCTTACCAATTAAATTGAACATTGATAACTTATTTTCAATCAAACTGTCTGTTTTTATTTGTGAATTACCTACATGATTTATTAAGAATTACGTTTATTTCATCATACATCAACGTCTATATTTTGCGGAATCGGGAGTGAAATATTTACTGGTGGCTGATCGTTGAAAAAAGGGGAAAAATCCACCAAACATGACGTTTTTGCCTTCAAAAAAAGCCAGACTCTCTCTTAACTGCAGAAAATTCGTCATTGTATGAGGGAAATCACGACAGACGGTGCACAATTTTTTTCCGTTGTTCTGATTAATGATTTCCTTGCATTTGATGGCCGTGTAATTGAAATTTCGCAGGGACGGGGTCGAATTTTTGTTACAGCGAAAGGTTTTTATGGGCAATTTAATCGTATTTATCGGTTTGTTTTAAATACTTTCTTAGATACAATTATTTTTCTAATTAAGAGGAAAGTTGGTTTATTGGGTGTTTGATGTGAAACATTAAGTGAGCGAAAGAAAAAGACAGATTTACACTACAATGTACATGCTCTTAAGATAATTAGGCACATCACTTTTGTACTACATAGCAACTTTGCGTTCTGATAATTGATCAATAAAAGTTCCAATATATATAAATATTTGTTGTCATTGACACCCCACCGCTGCCACCATGTATGATTCACTACATTCTGCGTAGTTTGTATTCTGACCGTTATAGTGGTTTATATTTTTATCTGTAATTACTACGACGATGGGTAGATACCCCTTACAGTATATATATATATATATATATATATATAATATTACAGAAATTTTCATCTTTATATCAATTTGATTGCTTCCTTCGGAATCCCTTGCTCCGCTATTGGTTCTGTGTGCTTTTCATAGAAAATCGCGAATTGCTATTATTTTTTTCTACTTTCCAGTTTCTCTAAAAAGTAAAATATTTCCATCGGTCCAATAACGACGTCTACGGTGCACATATTATGTAATTTAATAATACTATTATATGTGCGATATGGAGTGCTCTTTGAAAAGGGCTTCATTGAAAATATTATTAGCGTTATGAGAGCTGAATACAAAATGTTGGTACGGAGAAATAAAATCGATTCTCGCTTGCAATTCAATTCCACTTCACAATTTATCCATGAAATAGACGGCCAATTATTTAAAAACGAAATATAAAGCCTGTGCCTCTGCGCTAAAACACAACTCGACGGTCGGGCACGTCCCGGCTATTTGCGCGTGTGGAAGAAAAAGACTCACGGCTCGGTAATTTATCGATACGTTATATAAATATCAATATTTTGTTCGTGATTATTTTCGAAATTGTTACTACTT